GAAGTTTTGGGTCATCCAGGCCTTGATGTTCTGGAGACATTCCTGAAGTTGAACTAAGTGATTAGATTCATCATGCTTCAGAGAAATGTACAGCTGGGTGTCGTCTGTGTAACAATGGTGGTGGACATGGTGCTTTCTGATGATGCCTAAGGGGAGCATATATAAGGTGAGTATCGTCCAAGGACAGAACCTTGTGGTACTCCATGACTAACTTGCATGTTCATGGAGGGGTCATTGTTGATGTTAACAAATTGAAATCTGTCTGATTTAAATCCTGATTGAAAGTTTTCCAGCAAACCGTTAATATCTAAGTGATCACACAGCTGATTAGCAACAGCTTTTTCTAGGATTTTGGAAATGAAAGGCAGCTTGGATATGGGTCTGTAATTAGCTAAAACCTCTGGCTCAAGTGTAGGCTTTTTAAGCAGAGGTTTAATAACAGCTACAACAGCCTTAAAATCTTGTGGTACGTAGCCGGTTAACAAAGACATATTAATCTGATTTAATATGGAACTGTCAATCAGGGGAAAACTTCCTTAAAAAGTCTAATTGGGACAGAGTCTAATTGACAAGTTGTTGGTTTAGATGATGAACCGAATAAGGTCAGTCCAGGAAGATCAATAGAAGAAAAATGGTTCAAATATAAATCTGGTTCTATGGTTTCAGGACCAGACAATGTATCTGTGCTATTGACGGGGACAAAGTGAATATGATCCATAAAATACAGAACATAAAACACTAGAAAACTTTATGTTCCTGAATCCTGTTACCACATATTCACCATAGATAATGCACAAACATCACATACTGTACATTTGCGTGCAATGGTTACTGTTTCCCTTCCTCTTTCCTTCCCATCAACGTTTCTCAACCCTTTGGACAGAGTGGGCACTGACACTGGTATCTGAAGGCAACATTTGTTTCTAATGATGCATCAATTAGTAAAAACTTGTATAAATGTTTATCCATCAATATAAACTAAAATCAATGTGGTTGTCAGATGAATATTCCAGTTATACAGCACACGATAATTCATGTTTAGAAGCACAATGATGCTAATATGTAGAATTTCAAACATTTTAAATAAAGAAAAGTGACAATTGCATGAATGTTGATATATTATTACTGTTGTGTATTTCGTTAACAGGGAAACTAATCCTGACATGCTTTTAGCTGTGTTACAGTCCACCAACAGAAAAATATATCTGGTATGTTCACAAGCTGTCTGCTGTTTGATGCTGGTAAACTTGTGGAATCTTTATCACTTAAAGCAGCCGCGTGATGAATCTGCTGAAGGTGATGGCAATAAAACAAATACCTTAGAGATAATAAAATATGCCATAAAGCTGAAAGGAAAAGCAAAGTTAAGTGATAAATCCCTTTGGTTTAGTCACTATGAGCAATACCCTTCACATTGTCATTTGATCGCCATGATATACAGCTTTCAGTCCATTGTTCTGTTAATAGTTCTGTACTCAGGCAAATAAAATGCTGAATGGAGTGTTTTTACATTTTATTTCCGTAAAAAATCGGAATAATTCCTGCGCCACTAATTTTAGTGTTTGCATGTTACTTTCAAAAGGCTTTTCTCTAAATTATTTAGTATTTCCCTTTATTGGGTAAAAGAAAATTCCCTGCTTTTGCAATCCCCACCAAAATAAGGAAGTGGTCCCACTTTGAAGGAAACATGACACATCTTGCTGTCCCTCACACACACACACACACACACGCACACTTAATTGTTCACAACCTGCTTCTACAGCGAGACAGTAACATCAAAACTGCTCAGGGCCAGTTTCATTAAGTTTTGGTCTTCACTCCACTATGATGTTGTATATCTTTGTGCCACTGTGTGCTCTGTTCACTTTCAGCCAACAGGTAAGAAAACACTATTGATATAGTGATTATTATCATTTTTATTACAACTACACACTGCCCATGTGAAACAGAAATATTTAGGATTTTTTCTTAACATGCCATGTTTAATATTTTGGATTTCAGGTGACTTCAGCAGAAAAATGTGTGTGTGAGTTGACTAATTCTGAGCAGGCATTCCCTCATGACGAACTCAGCGCAGTGGAGGACAATGCATCAGAATGCAACAGTGAGATTACCGCCAGGAAGGTAACTACTACTTGTAAAACCAGACTGTGTATAACAGATCCTCCTTCAGATTCTCAACATTGCATTACACTACTCTTTTTAAGCGTACAGTCATACTAATGGAGCTCTTAGTGATGTCTGATCAAAGGGTCTACCTGTCCTCCCTGAAGACTCTAGAGCTGGACAGTCTGCTGCTGGGTTTGGACCGACGTCTCCCCCAGCTGCTGGAAGACGTGTCGATGCTGGAGAGAGAGGATGACCAAGATCTTTATGGGGTTCTCAGCCTGCAGGTAATAGAGAATGAATTGAAGGACATCAAACAGCTCATGGACAAGCTGAATAGCACCACCATGAGAGACCAGCATCTCACCATTGGCGCCACGAAACAGGTAGATTCACCAACACATGCTGCTCACCACGGTTATCACTAACCATCACTAATCATCACTAATGAAGGCAGCATCTGTGTGCTAACCTCTAGTATGCTATTAATGTTAATTATAAGTCTTATTGCACTGTCCTCACAGCACACATGAATATATGTCATAATGAAATTTTGACTTTTCCGGTCAAATTACAGTATGTGAAATGTCAGTGTTTCCTCTGTAGTGAAAAACATGGAAGTAGAGAGAGTTTTTGTCTTTTAACTCATTGTGCTCACTATTAATGTATCAGCCAGTCCAGTTTCTCAGATGATAGGCGATGCTATATTCAAAGTCATTTATATTTGTAGACGGAGCATGTTATGACATCTGCTGTGCTGCTATCCCTCAGCTTGAAGAGGCGAAAGCAGAGATGCAAGAGCTGGAAAAGTACGACACTATGCAGGTGGTGAGGAGACAAGAAGCTAACATGCGTTTGAAGAGAGATCTAGACCAGTGCAAGAATGGACATAACCACATCATCCAACCCACTCAGCCCCCACGTAGTAAGTCTCTAAACCACGCTGAAGGCAGTTAGAGACAATATTACAATGTGACAAGTCATATTATTAGTATTTTCAATACATGATAGCAACACCTTTTGTGTGACACAGTGAACTTGTCAAAACTGTAAATGTGGGGTTTTAATCAATCAAATCAAGTTTGAATTCCTTAGTTCGGAGCAGGAGAAGGCCCTTGATAAGGTTGATTATGAGGACCTGTTTAAGACTTCACATGCATTTGGGGTGGCTGTGATTTGGGAAGTAGAGCGTGTAGTCCACCAACCAGAGGGTCGGCGGCTCAATGATGAACTGTATGAACGTGTGTGTGAACGACACACTGTATTGCAAAGCACCTATAGTGGTCATCAAGATGAGAAAAACGCTATATAAATACCATTTACCATACTTGTCATGTCAAGGTAGCAGATGGACTATATAGATCATTATGATGGGTGTTGTTCATTATTTTTTTTAATATTTGCAGTTCAGTTGGCACAACATTGGCACAGGGTATTCATCTATTTTCACATTTACCCCTCAGGGAACTGTCCACACGGTGAGTTTGTGAACATCACTGGGCCCAGGGTGTACACAGCAGGAGAGTATCCTGGCTCCTACAAGTATGGCGCTTGGGGTCGGGATCCCCAACCAGAGGTGGGAAAAGAGAACTGGTACTGGCTGGTAATGATGACCGCCAGCAACAGATACTCCAACTATGTCCGTCTGTACTCAAGCCTGAGTTCTATCATTGTTGGGGTTAGCGTCCCAGGTAAAGAATTTTTTTGTCATATCAGCTCACTAGACATTAAAGTCTCACTGATAATAATAACCATGGAAACAACGTCACTATCTCTGTATCTTTTCATTCTTTTTTACAGTTTTTAAATCAAAATGCTAATTCCAGAATATTTGTTGACTGAAAGCTTCAAGTTTATTTAACTTTATTTCTTTATTATAACAGTAATAATACTACCTTTTTTAACTTTACTTTGCTTGACTACTATAACATGATTCCAAAGTCTACACTTTATAGCAGTCCTTTATATAACAGGTAGAAGACTTCTATATCCACCTATGACCTGATGACCTCTTTAGTGTAAATTGAAGAAAAAGACCAATCCTAGTTGTTTAAAGCAATGATGCTACTGGAATAAAACTTAAAAAAATATGATTCATGATATACATAGTCTCTTGGAATAAAAATGGAACTCTCCCTCATGGTCTAGTGTTTTAAATCTAATAAATTGTAAAATCAAATTACAATATTTTTAAAATTACATTATTTAAACACATATTGAATTTGTTCCAAAGTTTTGTGAAAAGTATCGGTAGGATCAAATTGGGAGATAATAAGCCTTTATAAATTATTCATGTTGAAATGGAATGGTTGGTAACGGACACAAAAGGGGCTCACTGATTTTGGACAGCGATGGACCTGCCACTAAAAAACTATGGCACATATATTATTGATTACTTTTATGTGCTGATAACCCCTCTCTCCCCTTCTTCCAGGGAATGTCCTGATCCACAGCAGTAACCCAACCACCAACACCATCCAGGGTCCAAATGTTGTTCTGTTTAGTGGGGCCTTATACTACAACTGTTATAACCAAGATGCAGTTTGCCGATTCAACCTCACCTCTAAAACCATTACCACTGTAAAACTACCCAAAGGCACCAGGTTCGCTGCTCACCTTTGTCTTTCAGCTCATTCAATGTTCATGTCAATGTTTTATTCATTACAGACCACAAACAATTATAAAAAAATTATTTGTATTCAAGATAAGATTAAAAAAGATATTTATCCAGAAGGAAATTCTTGAAGATTACAGTACAGAACAATACATAGTAGAATAGAATACAGTGGGAAAAAAAGAAAGAAAGAAATGAAGTCTAAATATAAATGAAGATGAAAATTAAAGTGTATACCAGGGAATGAAGCACCAGTGAGAAAAAGAAAAGCAAAGTTACACTTGACAGAGAAAGGAATACTTAACTACAGTAGCAGCGAGTATATTAGTCTATCCATCCAAAAATAAAAAAGTAATTCATTATCCACTCACCACTGTGCCGATGGAAGGGTGGGGAAGTGTTTGAGCCAACAAAACCCTTTTGGAGTTTCAGGGGTAAACTTTGTTGCAGCCAAATCAAATACAATTGAAGTATCTGGTGAAAAAAAGTGTAGACACTTGGTTGACACCACAGAATCAGTATGGTAGCATTTTATGTTTTTGTTTACGTTTGAAGAATTGATCACCAGTTACTTAAATTGTGTTTGATTTGGCCGCAGCAAAGTTCACTTCACCCACCCTTCCATCCACATAGTGGTGAGTAGATAATGAGTGAGTTTTCCTTTATTCTGTGAACTATACCTTTAATATTAGTGTATGCCAAGTTTAAGTCTGAGACTACACTAGACTAAGACTAGTTTTAGTGTATGTACAATCACGTATGTTGCATAATTAAAGAGCAAAAAGGTGGGAATTCAAAAGCAAATGATAATGTCACAATGGAAGTAGAAACTTTACAAACTTTAAACTACACTACTTGTTGTTTTGTAGCAAGGAGTAAGAATTATAGAAAAAAAGTGAAGTGTCCTTAAGCAATATACTGAACCCCAAACTGACAATGTATGAATGGTGTATGACTGAAAAAGAGCTGTGTATGAGAAGCACTGCATGAATGTGTGCGCGAATGGATGCATGTGACTTGTACCTCGAAGTGTTTTGAGTGGTAAATAAGTCTGGATATAAAGAGGGCCCATTTACCATTTAAAACTCCATACAGTTCATATTTGTATTCACCGTGTGGAGAAGAACAAAAAATATCCCCAATCCATCACTTCTGTCCTGTTTTGTCAGATTTAACTCAAAGGGAAACTTCTGCCACCTTGATGAATGCTACCCGTTCACCGACCTGGACCTGGCAACAGATGAGTCTGGTGTCTGGGTGATCTACACCACGACCCAGGACTATGGAAACCTGGTGCTGACCAAGGTGGAGGACGATGAGAGTCCGACACTTGGCCAAACCTGGAACACCTCGGTCTACAAGCAGGGGGTGACCAATACCTTTATGGCCTGTGGTGTGCTCTATGCAACACGGTACATCAACAAAGAAATGGAAGAGATCTTCTACTCGTTGGACACCGTGACAGGGGAGGAGAAATTCAACCTTGGAATCTTCCTCAAGAAGATGTCCCCCAACATATATTCCCTGAACTATAGCCCTGTGGACCAGATGCTACATGCATACTGTGACTCGTTCATGGTCTCCTATAAGGTTTTGTTTGAATGAATGAATAATACATTTTGCCTACTTCTGCATTTGCATAAGAGATTAAGTAAAAGTTGCCTGTGCCAACCATGTCCCAATAATGTAGATTTGACTAATTACTAAGAGTTTCTACTAATTTGCTTTATGAAGTGTACAATGTATTGTCATGTCCTTACCACTGGATAAAAACAGAAAATGTCAGAGTGGAGTGATACAAATAATGTAGAGAGTAAATCCACTGAAACATTCATGTGAGGTCTTGACCAAACCTACCTGCTGCAACATCAACAGTTCCCAAAATGCTTCTATACGACACCTTTCCTTCCACTGTCAAACATATGAGAACAGTTTACTATTTACACTGTTAGTACAAATGCAAGTGTGTATTATGTAAAAAAACTGAGGGACAAATGGATTGGACAAATTGGTATTTGTAGCTATTTGCTAATATAATTACATTTAACATGACTCTCTCCCAATATTTTTTTTTCCAGAAAATGTTTTGATTAAAAGTTCTTTCTGCAAAAGTATTCAACCCTTTCACTGAATTCAACTGCAATTCAACAAGCAACCAAATGAGTTATTGTATTACATTGCTTTCAATCAGAAAGTAGCATACAGCCTGGTAGTAAATAAAGCAAAAAGAGTAATATTGAGTAATGTTAATATGAGAGGTTGGAGGGTATTTACATTTACAATCATTGCACTGCTTAGTTATTTGAAATCAATAGATGCTGTCTGTCCACTTTTTCACCTTGCTCCCTTTCTGTCCACTCCATCCTGCTCTCCCTCCTTCTCTCTGACTCCATCTACCTCTCTCCCTCTGTGTGCTGTCAACTAAAAGGCAAATATAGCTAATCATAATCTAATAAAACAGAATGAATAATTTGAACCATATCAATTTAGAGTATGAATTAGCTTGTCGACTATTGCTTTTGATAAGGGCAATATAGTAAGATGCAGTCACTTTGACCATACTGCCTGACTCGGGTCCTTTCAAGCAGCACCCCTAAAGCTGTTTCACCATCCAGCTGTGTCTCTTTTTCCCCCTGTTGCAGCATGGATGACAGGAGGCAGAATTCAGATCAATCATTCGATCTATAGCCCATTTTCACATAAATGACCCAAAAGGCTATTTTGGTGGGGGAATAAATCTGAGAGAGAGCTGCAAGTGAGAGAATTAAGGATGGACAGAAATGCACTTGATGGGCCCGGCACACTTTCAGTTTTCTGGACACAACGTCGACAACCAGTAGTGGAAGGACAATGGATGATATGGAGCCCACATGTTATCACTGGTGATATTATGCAGAAATACTACGGACTCCAACATTATTTTTGAAACTACCAACTCAATATTATCATATTTTTGGGACCTCCAACTGATGTAATTGTGTGTCATTACCATAGATGTGAATAACAATTATACCATATCTACTTTTATCCTTAGCCGGCAGTTTGAAACATCATTTAAGGCTCTGGCCCCAGGAATGCATTTATGCACAGTTCAAAGAAACATCAATGCCAAAATATAACACAGGCCAGTGAGGCTTGTTAGCAATACATTGCAGACCATGTAAATAAGCGTTTTATTTTGGTCACATGTAATCCAGTGTTTCCAAAATCGAATGGCAGAAAAAAAATCTAAACAAGCCAGTAAATAATGTAATCCAAGACCATGGTTACCTGCCTCTCTTTACATATGACAGATGTCAGAAGCTCTCATAAAGTTCTGAAAAATCCCTGATAATGAAAAGTAGTGACGTTCCTGGCCTAGTTTCAGGCGTCACTGAGCCAAGTTGGGGGAAACAGATACTGTGACATGCAAGTTGACATCCACCATATATCCATACCATAAAACTTGATTCCCGCCAGTAAACCAAAAAGAAGGGTTGCTATTCTTACAAAGAGATATTTTTTAACCTGGTCGGTTCATTATGAGCGCTTCTCTTCCCACTCAGTGGGAGCTCACCATGACCAGATATCAGACAAAGGTCATAAAACTTTCCACTCTGATCTAAAAACCAGCTAATTTAATTGAATGTCTAAAACAATGAGAGAATTGTGTTTTGTATGATATTATTTTCAGATAATTTGATAACAATTGTACACCATTTAAAGTCTTAATGAAAGCTAAATTGATTTCCAGGTCTGGTATTCTGATGTTCATCTCACATGCAACCATACATTTACCATATGAAGAGACTGCCATTAGATATATTTTTTGTTCTATTTTCGTTTTTCATAAAGATACATGCTTTATTTATTAATTTTATTTCTTCATAATGTAGAATTAACAATCATCTATCCATGATTCCCTTTATACCACATTTGTCGAATTCACTTTCTTACTTACTTACTTTTTTAAGCCATAACAACAGCCAGCTGCAAGAATAATGCACCAAATGCAAATTTTTGTTAATCTGTCTAAGTCTCATTCAGACACCCAAGGAGAGAGCTTGGAGAAGAGGCCTCACTGAAGCTGTAACTATTGGCTGAACTCCCTGCTGAATAACTGTTGTTGTCTCAAGGAGAATCCACCTGGACCTTACGTGAGGTTACCAGCCACTGAACCATGGTCTGTCTTCCAGCCGAGATTGTCCAATCTTTTTGAATTGTAATCTCCAAATTTACCTTCATAGAATCCCTCACTCATTCACTAATAGATTATTTGCCATTTACGTTATCACCGCACAGTCCTATGCTTAACAAATTACATTTCACCATCACCAGAATAATCACCTTTCAATTCCGTTGCTATATTAATTCTATTTGCATATAACATGTCTTCCCTAGTACAATGTTAGTCAATATATCTCATATTTTTGCATCGTGTTGATGTATCTGTGTTCTTTTGGAGTACAGAACTGAAAATATGCTCAGATTATAGTTGGTGCCCCTTTTTAATGTACAAATTCATCACAAGGCTACATAAACTACTCCTCATCTTCAT